CCTCCCGAAAAGGCGCCCGGGGGGGGGGGGGGGGGGGTCCGTGTGTGCTTTGGGGGGGAGGAGGGGGGGAGCCGTTGATTCGGTTTAGAATTATCCGTTGTTTTCGTTCATAGTTCCGGGGGTTCAGCGTGGTACTTTTTTGAGGGGGGGAAAGACTGACTGCCCAGTAGGACCCTGGTCGTTTTGTTTGATCTAATCTAATCTGACCTGGGCGGAGGAATGAGGAAAGGACAAGAGAAGTCGGTGTTTTTTGCGGGTGCTTGGGACCAGCGTGGTGGTTGTCGTAGGCGCGGTAAGTAAGTGAAATCCCACTTCAGGCTGCAGAGGTGCGGTTATTCCTTGCAAGGGGGGGGGTACCGAGGAGGGGTAAGGTAGGGTGTTGTTGTTTGAGGTCCTCCTCCTCCTCCTCCTCCTCCTCCTCCTCCTCCTCCTCCTCCTGCTCGTTGTTGCTGTCGTTGTTGCTTCCGTCGGTTGGTGTTTCTTGCACCACTCGCTCGCTAGGTCCTTCCTTTCCTTGTGATGACAAGCACTTCAACCCCGTCCGCAGAAGAATGTGTCTGCAGACATCACACTAAGCTCCTTCTGTTTCTCTGCCGCGTCGTTCGGCCTTTCGGTGTGTCGGTTTTCAAACTCGACCGACAAGACTCGAGAGGAAATCCTGAAGGTGTCCATGGCTCAGAATAGAGTGGACGCCAGCGTGAACTTCACGGCCATCACAGAGGAGCTGGAGGGGTTCACCGGGAGCGACATCAAGGAGGTACTGCTGTAGGCGCTGTTTTGTTGTTTGTTTTTTTACTGTATAAAGTGGAGGGTGTTGTTGTTGTTGTTGTGGGTCATCACCAAGGTGGTGCTGTGGTGTTGTGGAGATGTTTTGTGGTTACTGAGGTAGTTTGGATGTGTCTTGCTGAAGCTCTCTGTTCTGTATACCAGATAACCCTCCTCGTCATTGAGAGTTAGAGATGCAAGGCTAATTAATGGATGTTCGTGTGGCGATGTTGCCTGTGTTGCCCGATGTACATAGCCCGTACGTTCTCTGTTGTTAAAAGTCGTTGGTGAAGAAATCTAGTCTAGTCGCCGACACCTGGGCCGCCACTTCCTCCTACACTGTGTTTACGACCCCCCTCCCCCCCCCGCTCTTCTCTCTCGCTACCGGGCACTGTCTCCGTGGTGGTGCACTTCCTTTACAGGTGTGTCGCGAGGCAGTGGTGCGCATCGCCCACGAGAAGGCCCAGGAGCTAGACAGGGCCGGGGTCAACGGGGTGAGGGAGGAGGTCGATCTGACGGCACAGCTGAGGCCGGTGACGATGGACGACTTCTGGGAGGCCAGGAAAAAGGTGCGTTCTTTTTTTTTTTTTATGTACGAAACCACAGGAGGGTCGTTGCTTGGAGTTTAATAGGCCGAGCCCCGGCCTCAACTCAAGCCTTTTTTGTTTTTGGTTGGGCAGAGAGCTACATATAGAGTAGGGGCTTGGCGAGGGGAGGAGGGAGAACGTTTGTTCGTGCGGAGGGTCGTTGTTTGGTGGTACAGGTTGGGTTTGGACAGCTTCCCCACAGCAGTCGTTGCAGCGGGTTTTCCTTATCGTAGGCGTTTTCGCTCGAACCGTCGGGGTTGATAATTGTGTGTGTTTGTGAACAGATGTTGTTTTTCGAGATGGTGGTATTGATTTATTGAGCCGTTTGCGTTCCGCTGGACTGACTATACTATTGTACTGACTGCTGTAGAATGTGTTGGCCGGGGAACAATCACCACGGCGCCGTACGAAACATGCTATATGCATATGTATGTTTGTTGAAAACGGCCTTGTATGTTTGCTTGTCCAGCCCACGACGTACGTATCCCCCGCTCTTGATTGTGTGTGTCCATCCGTCTGTACGCTTACTCCTGGGTTACCTTCCCACCCACCCCTACCCCTACCCCGCCCTCCTTCGCATCTCCGCCCGTGCCGTCGTGCTGCGCTTGCCGTCCTCCTCCTTTTCTATTCTTGTTGGTTTGTTTGACGTATCTATCGGTGTTGCTTTGTCGGGCTCGTGCCCGCTGTTGTCTGTTGCCCTGTTTGTGTTTTGTTGGTGTCTTTGGTCCGGTCGCGTCTCATCGATCCTTTCTTATGTTTGCGTGCGTGCATCTCTTCCGTGGGTGGAAAAAAACAACGATTTATGAACTTGTTCGCGGGTTGTTTTTTTGTTTTTTCTCCACCGCTCGGTCGATCTCTCGGTGATGGAATTCTGATTTCGTTTGTATTTCACCATTTTTTTTTTTTTTTTTGATAATTTTTGGGTGGCACGATGTGTGTCACGGCGTGGCAGTTAACTGCAAGCGTGAGCGAGAAGGGGCGAGAGTTGTCTAGGGTATGGGAGTGGAACGAGGAGTACGGGGAGGTGAAAAAGAAGCGACCGGACGCATCGGCGCATCACCTCTCCATGTACCTGTGATTGATTCGGCTGGAGGTGTATCTAAAGTTAGGACGGCGGGGTACGTGCGTGGAAACGCTTAGAGATACACGCTTAGTTTCCGTGGTTGAACGGCTAGCGCCGACGCTGTTTGCCGGTAGATGGTCAATGTCACGCGCGTTGCTTATCAGAGTTACGGATCGAAAATCGGAACAGTATTTGTATTTGACTCATGCAAGGACTCTGCTGGATTATTGCTCACGCCGCCGGTGTGCGGAGAAGATACCTGTTCCATGTACTCAGCTCAGTGACACACAACGCCGGAAGGAGCTGCTTCAAGGGACACGCCCTCCTCAAACACGGATGTGTTCGGAGTTTGGAGCTCCGTTGGGGGTTCCGTGCTTTGGTGGACGGGGAGGGGGGAGGGGGGGGGCAAGGGTCCGTCCGCAATAAGCCTCCCCCGGCCCAGACGAGAGATGTCGACCATGAGGGGTTTCCAAGAGAGGCAGGGTACGGTGTTCACGACCGCGCCATGACTTTGGACGTCATCGAGTGCCTGCCAATTGACTCCCGGCTGTCGGATACGGGGTTCGTTACGCGAGTGAATCGGCTTTCCGTGGCGGAGGTGAAAAATCACAACACATCATCGATACAGCAGTTACAACAGAGCTTCGATTCTAATATGGTCCGTATGTCCGAGGAATCTGCGGATCGAATCTCCGGTCTAGACAGAGGCAGAGCACTACTGGACCTCCGACCTCGGGGTGAACTCCCATGTCTTCCGCCTTCCCTTCCCTTCCCGAAGAAGACATGACTGTTCAAATCTAGCTGCAGTCCCAATCGAGGCGTTCGCGTAGGTGAGAACAACCGTTCTGTCGCGGCCTCGTGCATGAGGATTAACTCAACTGCTCCTCACGCGCAGAGCGCATGCTGCTGTCGGGCGTGTTGGCAAACGAACCTCTAACCTCCACACAACCCGTGCTTAGTGCGGCCCGTTCTGTGGCCTGGGGTGCGTGGTGGTGGGCGCAGCGATGCCAAGCTATTGGCTGGTTGGTGTGCGCAACCTTGTACGATGACGACGATTGGCCGGATTCGAGCCTGACACAGACCGGGAGGTTCGTCGTTGACGGTTTGCCCACATGACATGACGAGAGACGGCTATCGTTTTCTTTGATGTGGTACATGGAACCGCCAACCTTGTTTGCGTATTCATTTGCCGTTTTCGGTGCGCCCACCGATCCGCGTGTCTCCTTACCTATCAAGCTTTCTGGAGTTCCTCGCGGGCCAGACCGTAAGGGAGGCGATCGACTTGTTGTCTCGCGCCGCCGAAATGAGTCAGCATCATGGAGTTCACCAACAGGTAAGTTGGCGATGTTTCGTCCGGGTGACCTACACGATATATCCCCATCACACGATGCCAGCCCCAGCAGTTTCATCACCTACAGCCTACAGGCTTGTTGGGCGTTCGTTCTCTTCACCTCGACGTACATTTTCGTCTGCTGACGCGGCTGACGTTGAGAAAACAACACCTGAGGCCCCCGTGCAACCAGGTGGTGCCCTTACAATAATGCATGTCAGATAGTCGCTTCAATAGGCGGGCTTGACGCTTTGCCCAAAGACGGCGTTAACTCAAATAGGCCAGCAGTTACCCCGTTTTGTTTGGTTTGCCCTTTACCCAACACTACTGCACCGAACTGCTTGAGACCCAAACGAACCGACCTATCTCTCCATCGGACCAGCGGAGGAAAAAAGAAAAATCAACCAATCCGAGAGAAATCAAGGCCGCCGGCCGTGTTCGTTCGAGACCCGTACACGCCAAAAAAATGGTCGGCCAAAAACGCATCCGACCCCGATGAAAGTTTTGAAAACAAAGGCAGCGTTCGACGGACGAATTATCATCGTTTGTCTCTTGATTGTCCCTCACTGAAAACAAGACCTGCAATCTCCTGCACACGCAAGGAGGGGGGGTCTTCACCCCAGCCCACCCGTCGTGCTTTGTCATAAAACAGAACAAGAGGCTTGTAGGATACTTCTCTTCTATCGCACCGCGAGGCGAGCTTCTCCGATCGAACTAAGCAGGAGTTGCTGGTGCGGTGCACCCGAGATCCACGCTGAGACACATCTAACAAAACTGGTACAAGTGCCATCCAGCCCGTGTTCATATCATAAAGACGTAAACAAACATGGCCACGTTCGGAGATCTGCTCGAACTACACACAAATTCCTTTTTAATTTCTTCCGTTCCTTTTTAATAAGCCGGTTCTCCTGTTGTACCATTTACGCTTCTACCTCCTGCACGCCGCGAAAAAAACGCCGTATACTGCTGTATGCTACCTAAAACCGTACTTTTGCGAAACAGAAAAAAATGCCAAGGGGGGGGGCGAGGGCGGACAAACACAGCAGTCAACACACCTTGCCATAACGTACTCCGTAAATACGATCCCCACACACCCTGCTGTTGCGCGAAAGACATCACGGCTACAAGAAAAAAAGGATTCGTCTCTCTTTCGAACAAAATGTCACAACGATCAATCAATGTGTGTTCAATCACGGTTCAACACCTGCTTGAAAAACAGGCGGACTTGTTCCTCCTGCTCGGGTGTCTCGGGGGAGACGCGGCTGGATTTTCCGATCGCCACGGTGCCCCTGGTGCGGTAGTAACGGTCCACCCGGTTAAGCGACTGCTCCGCGCTTAGTTCCGGGTACAGCCGTCCCAAAAGGCAGGACGCGATGAGACCTGTTCTGCCCCTACCCGCCCAGCAGTGGATGAAGGGCACCTGCACGGACAAAACAGTGTTTCATCATCACTTTGAGAATGTTTTTTTTCATAGATGAAATCGAAAAACCTCATACAGCCGGACCGCACAACATCGTCCAAACTCGAGTGTGTCTCACGGAGCAGTGGGGGCGTCTTGAAAACGCGCCTTTGTGCAACAACAGTTGAATTATCTGCATAACATGAGGGTTTCTCAAACGGGGAACAAGTCTAGCGTGAAGCTCCAGTCCGTTTTTCCATCTAGCCTCCTTCATCACTCTCACGCACACACCCACCCGTGTAAGGATGTTGCAAAATTATTCATGACATCCATCCTCGTTTCATGGCGATGCCCACCTCTCCATAGGCCACCCACGGACCCACTTCTTCCCACGGAAACCCGCACCAGGCCTTTCTTCCGTGTGCAACGCGAAACATGGCAATCCTACGATAGAAGTCAATGATTCACCCAACGGCATATCCACTGCTGTGTCCAACACCATTGTGGCACATATGCATATGCATTACCTTTCCTGACCTAACCAGGGCCTCCAGCTCGTCCACCAGCCCCGCCAGAATCTCCGTGTTCTCCGCCGGCGACAGGTCCGGTATCGGAAAGTGGTGAAACGCAAGCCCTTCCTCCCCCCTCGCTCCCAGCACCACCTCCGTCGCCCCCTCCCCTGGGCCCCGCCCTTGTTTTTTTTCCCCCCCCCCCCCCTCCTCGCTGTTGTCTGCACCGACGTTAACAGCGATGTTCCCATTATGGTCTGAGCCTCCCTCCACCTGACTCGCCATCGTCAATGTTGCTGCAGAACCAGAAGCAGGAGCGGCGGCGGCGGCGGCGGCTACGGCGGCCACGGCATCGCCCCGGTAAGCACGGAACCCCGAAAAGAACATGCCGCTGTCGTCCTTATCAGCCGGAGGGCCCCATTGGCTCTCGTCGTCCTGTGGAGGAAGCTCCGCCTGCGCGATCCACAAAAAGAGTTTTTCGGGAGGACGCGGATTTTAGCTACTGCAGTCGAAAACTCAAGAGGAAACAACGACAGGAGGGGTCCCGTGTCATGAGTCAGGGAGGGGGGGGGGGTATGATGGGTCGATTACAGAGCTGTTGCGTGCACGAGGGCGTGGTCGTTTTCTTACGGGATAACTTCAGACTGCCACAGAGGAGAGAGAAGGCATTTGTTGACGGTACAAGGCAGTTACTACCCTCTCGGAATGTTTCTCTAATCTACCAAATCAAGTTTTTCATGAGGGGGAAAGTGGCACTGCCCACAAACACGGTGATGTCGAAATAAATCTTGGTTGCCAACAGCTTTCTGCCGATGCTTTGTTCAATTTCGGCCCCGAGCCATTGCGATACCCAATCGCCAACGAATTCACTATAAAAAGTGTGCACGAAAAAAATACAAAAGCAACGGTCACTAGCCCCCAAGAAAGGCCGGCAATGTGATATTCTATACTTCGGGCCGTCGCGCCGACTAGGTGCGTCATAGCAAAAACTTAAAGTGTCCAATCAACCTTAGCAGGCGCCGACCTGCAGGCAGTAGAGGTCCGTTACCCCGCCCCGTAAGACGATGTCCAGCACACGGTCGCGAGCGATCTGTACGGTGGGCCCCGTCGCCAGGTCGGCCGGTATCTGTCCCGGGTACTTCCCCAGCAGCACCTTGCCGGGCACAAGCCTGAAGAACGAGCGGGCCGGCGACAGATGTGTGTGGGCACGCAGACGTCGGAGGCGCCGAAGGAAAGACATGAACAATGTTAATGAAAATAGGGTGGTTGCGCTGTTGCTAGAGCATGACCTCCTGTCGACGCAAGGGTTTGTACTGTGACATGTTTGTTGCACTTGGAGTCTGGTCGGGCGATGCAACAGAGAGGAAGCCACGATGAGACAGGGTGGGACAAAAATGCTGCGCTTGCAAGAACGACTTCGCGGGAACTGCTGCATCAGCCGTCTATAGCGATGCCACCATCACAAACAAGAACGGCTGAATGTAGCCGCTCTCTCTCTTGGCATGGCGTCACAACAGGGCACAAGGGGTCCACCCGCCTCCCTCTCTAAGACAACAAACGCGAATGTCCGTTTTTCACATGCAACCCTCCCGTGATTTTTAGTGCGATTGGCCAGCTGCGTGAACATATAAAAGCGAGGTCAGCATGAACACCACTTCCAAGTTCTAAAAACACCAACAGCCAAGTCCAAGTTATGTTTCTGTTCATCCCGTGCCGCAGGACTAATGCTGTCGCGCAACTTCAACACGAGCTCTCCCAAAACATTTGATAAAGCCGGGGTTCCTTACATGGCGATGACCTTCTGTAGTTAATTGCGAGTACGCATATCATGGCACAAGGAATGACGAATGACTGCTCCCCGGAGCCTTGGCGTTGAAAAAGTACAGCAGTAGTCCTGTAGGGGAGGTACTGCTGTATACACTGCAGTGGTACACATTCGTACAATTTTCGTCTTTGATTGACAGACAAGAGAATTTCTTCTGGCCGTTGTCGGTGAAACTTCCCTGCAAGGACACACTCCCAACACAGTGCATTCTTTCCCCGGAATCCACTCACAAAGTGGGAAACTACTCCCAGATGGTAGCAACACACAATGTGTAGATACGCGTTGTTGTTCCTTGCCCTTCCCCCCTGATGATTCCCCTCGCTCACCAGTTCGCCCGCTCCGCAAAGTGGTGATTCTTGTACACGAGATCCTCGTCCTCGATCGGGACAAGCTTCGGTAAGTCAAACGCACTTGTCTGCGCCGGCCGGCGCGCCTGATCGTGGCAAGAAAACATCGCGGTTGGACAATGGGCAAGAGACGCGAACGGTACCGCAGTTTTTGTGCTGCAGCAGAGGAGGTGGGAACGTATGTAGTACGCTGTGACGAGAAAATAAGTCCCCCCGGAGGTTGAAGAAACGAAAGCCGAGAAAAAGCCGAGAAGGTTCACCGTTCAACCATTGTGTCCACAAGACACGTCGTAAGAACGTAAAAAGCACCCCGTCAACAGGCGTACCGTATGCATTGTAGGACCGTTGGTGCTATTTTGGTTGATTACGCGCTCTTCATTGAAGTTGCACACAACAGTCAGTCAGTGCGGTTAGCAAGAGAGAGAGAGAGAGAGAGAGAGAGAGAGAGAGAGTTTTGCGAAAACAAGAGATGGATCTAAAAGCCGGTTGTATCTACAGCAGTACTGCCAACATCTCTGAGTAGCTGCCATGCTTCTCGGTTCATCGTCAGACAGACGTACACGTACGCAAACTTGCAGAGAGTACGTACCTGGGTGGAGAGCCCATCCTCGACTTCCTCCTCCAGTCGGAGTCGAGACAGAGGGCTCAGTGGAATTGCTTCACGCGTGGACGTGCTCATCGTGCTCCAGCTTTTCCTGGAGTTGCATCCTCTACCTCCAAGGCGCTTCACGCCATCAACGGATGACGAGCACGATGGCGGAGAACGTCCGTCAACGAAATTGAATTTTACGTTCATGTTTGCGTTTGGAACAACCCAGCCCGCGATACCATGGCTCGCTGGGGTAGACATCCCACAGCGGTAACTAAAAGGGCTTGGCGGCAGGATCAACAGAAGCACTGGGTGTTTGTGGTTGCAGCACAAGGAGGCGTAGCATCTCCCCTACACCCTCTGAGCAACAGGAACAGCAGCAGTAGCAGCAACAGCACACAGCAAAAAAAGAGATGCAGCACACGTTTCGTTTTGGCGGAGGGGCCCCGTGAGATCGCCGACAGTCCCGTGAAACGGTCGAACAAAATACAACAAGTTCGGCATCGACATCCAACATCGCTCTGCTGCTCTCTCTCTCCCCCTCTCCTGTTCTTATCGCATAGACGAACGCCAACCGCGATTGCTTCTGTACACCCCGTATCGAATCAAGCTCACAAAACATGACCGCAAAAATCGGTGCCGCTGACTCCGCGATGGATGCCGAATTCCTGAAACGAACGGTCGGCGAACCTTTGTCAGATGCCTTGACGGCGCTGGTTGTGGCCCAGCCGGCTGACCCGATAGAGTTCATCGGCGAAGCTCTCCTGGACTTTATTAAGCGCAGGGAGGCAGAAGCAAAGGTATAGGAGTTCTTCGTGTAGCTGCCAGGGACGCTGACGTTGGTAGAGGATCATTGGCATCCGCCCGTGCACACAGCGTGCCGGGAGCGTGGGTGGTTTGTCGGTGATGAAGCAGAGCGGAGTTCTTTTGCCGACGCCTTGGCTCGCTTCAGGCGCGAAGTGCAGTTGTTGTTCTCTACACTTCAAAATACAGACTACTGCTGTAAATGTGCATAACAGACCGGGCCGCGGGTACATACTGCCTGTTCCACGTGTGTTACTACGAAGTAAATGTTGCTGCTGATATGTGTGCTTTCGCCTACTACTGCTGTAGTTCTGGCCTCTGCCAGCCCAGCATCACCCTCTTGTTCTCCTGATAGTTCTTTCTTTTAGTCTTCTTCAACGCAGAGAAACGAAGTTTCCGCGGGTCATGAGCTAACCGGATTGGCCAAGCAATTGACGCAACCTATGGTAGCCCGCATGTTGTTTGTACGTGTGTTGTCACCCAATGCATCCTGGGCATCAGAGTTGACGCCTTTCGGCATGTACTGTGGACGCACCACGTGTCCAAGGAATCAATCACGGGTTGCCCTACTTGAAGCGGAAGGGGGACGCGCGTGCTCTTGCAATGCCTATTTTTGCTGAACATGTACGAGAGTGCTACCAAAGGATGTTCAATATGTTACAGTAGGCCAGCAGTGATCCTCCCGCGACATCCATTTTTTGCTCATACGTTTCTGTCCTTCCCTCTCAACTTCTTTTGTATTGCTGGTAGCGGATCAAGCATGCGGAGGACGTAGCTCGTCTACTCGAAATGGCTCGGGAACAAGAGGTAAGCATCGCCTGGACGTTCTCATTCCAAGCCATGCCGATTTTCCGGTCATGTATCGCCATCGAAAGCGTCTGTTCTTCAGTCTATATCTAGCGTTACGTATCAATACGAAGATCGTACAAGCACACTTAAAAAATACCAGGTAGGCTACCGCAGTAGTAGCTGAATGTTGTCAGCTTTTAATCGCATCATCTGTTTCCAACGTGCAGACACCAACAATGCTCTTAACTACCAGTACAGTGTCTGAACTTGGTCGCACGACGTATATATACTGCGTTCAACCAACGGAGGAGAAATTCTAGACATCACTTTCACACCGCCTTTCTTTCGTGGTGCTCCTTCCGTCATGATACATACAAAAGCGTTCCCAGGAAGAGATCCCATAGTGGCAAACGTGAGACAGACGTAGACACGACGTCGATGACCACACCAACAACCAATCGACAAGTTCTCACGGTTTGTAGGAAATCGCCCGCGCTGAGAGTGCGGCAAGAGAAGCGGCTGTCCAGGCCAAGTCGGACGTCGAGCGGCAGGCGGAGGAAGCTATTGTACAGACGTCGACTCATCCCGAATTGTACGCAAAGGTGAGCGGTTCAGGTAATGTCGACGAGGGCCGGGCACGCATGAGAACGAGCACATCAAGGGCACAACACACTACTGCTGCAGCAACAAAGTAGCGCTACCGAGTCAAAGAACGTCGTGCAGACGTTGTGGAAGGTTGGCGAACGGACGCCATTCATAATCTAGAGCCCGCGAACGGGAGAGATGAACTAGTAACATGTCTGGAACAGGGGTGTGTGCCATCCAACAGCTCGTTTTTCTTGTTGATTCGTGGTCTTCAAACAGCGCTTCGTGTAGAGTACGGGGCCATATCCCCGATGCCCTCGGAATGTAACGCCCCACTAAAGTACGTACATGGGATCACTGTTACGCGGACATACCTGCTAAGGTTCTAGAGTAACGTGCAAAATGAATGGTGGGTCCCGAAATGTCGCCTCATTTATTGTTCAACCGCATTCAGGCGCTCGGCTTGGTGAAGGAAAGGCTAGGGGCGAGTGGTGTTCAGCTTGGACGGAAAGTGGTGGTAGAGGGACAGGAAATCGTGGAGTTCATCGCGGCCTCAGAGGGTCGAGAATACATGGTCGGAAAGGTCGGTGCATGTTTGCTGTACTGCCGTAGTAAGGCCGGTTGAGCGGCGCAACTGCATTGTGTATCACGAACTGTTTAGAATCGCACGGCTTCTTATCCATCCCGACCTTCTAGACTCACCCTGACCGTACTTTATGTCAAGAATTGTCTTCGTTTCTCCGGAGACCCCCCCCTGAGTTCGCTGCGTTTGCACCGTGTGAGCTTCTCGGCGTTTTTTTTTTTTGTTTTTGTTCCACCCATGTTTTTAGGAGATCAAAGGTTTGAAGGAGGGCGAGGACCCAGAAGACGGCGAGGCTAAGGAGGAGGGTGTAACCTTCGGCTTGTGGAAGAAAACGGAACAGCCGCCACCCGCAGAGGCCGTGTATGATGAGGTGCGGCACACCACTGTTATATCCATCTTGGGGGTGCATTATACCTTATGGTGTTAACAACTGTCGTTCCTTTGGAAGCCAGGATGTACAATAATAGTTGCGTAGGCAAACAGACATCCAGAACAAACGTTGCAGACGTGGCGGACAACTTCCCTTTGTGTCGGAGGATTTTCACCAAGAATGGATCTTGAATATGGGAATTGTGTCCACGAAGGCGCGCTCTCATCTTCTGCCTTTCTTTATCCTAGCTTGTCCAAGTAGCCTAAGCAACGCTCGGCATTCCTCGCCACATCTCAAGAGAGAAAACGAGCCCCGGCTCGTGGGACGGTCACCACCCGTTCGCGGGACTCTGTCTCGATAGCGTTACTGTAGGGTATCCTCATTTCGAGTATCATGGTAATCATGCTCTTTCTGCCCGCCATGCATGGCCTGTGTCTTGAGGTGCATAGGATTCGACGTACGACGTTGCGTCGTACCAACAGTATGTTACGCACGCTATCCTAGACTATAGCGTTTCCATGCAGTCGTCGATAGAATTTTCTTACGTGTGCAATCCAACTTTGCTTACTTGATTCCTACATGTAGATCGTTTCAGTGGGCCGTTTCATCTTGCCATCGCATTATTGCCTATGTGCTCCCAACCAAAAGCCATGGCATATTAAGAAAATGTTGGCCTGAGGGGTCGAGAGACGGGAACATTACCCCGCGGTGCATCCAACTTGCACCTTTACTTATTAATAGTCGCCCTTCCGTTTTCAAGAAGCGTTGATCAGATGGGTGGTTTCTCCCTCAGTCATAGCGCAAATTCTACGGCTCCTGGTGTCAGGTGTAGTTCAGCTACGATGTCAAAGGAGAAATTGGTCGGTTCGTGGCCTTGTCACGCGGCTATCAGACCAATAAAACCAGCGTTCCACCACAAGGAGAGCTCGACTTGCCTACTCCCGCCTCTATCTTCGACAATACACGATCTTCGACCACTTGGTGGTGCGATTGCCTTACTTGAAAAAAATAGCAAACCTCACTCAATGACCGCCGCCATTGAAGGACTCTGCCCCCATCTACCTCGGCACAACTCGCATTATATTCTAAACGAACGTTTCAGAGCACTCTCCTTGCCGGATACCCATTTTACGTCCTACTTCCAACCTTCGTTGTGCTTCAACCGGACGGACGGGACCGTAGGAGGGCGAGATTGTTCCGGATGAAAACGAGCCGGAGCTAATCCCGCCGGAGCACGTGCTGATCGAAAACGTCGTGCGCGACCCGCGCGTCAAGTTTTTCGGCATTCCCAAGTTGGGGGCGTACCTGGCCCTCCCCATCACCTACGGCTCGTGGCTACACCCTGGAGGTTTGCTGGAAGACACGACCATAACGATAACGATGATGAGGATCGTGTTGGCGTTGTTGCTGCGACTACTGCTGCCGTTCCTGTTGGCGATAGTGATGATGTCGGTGATGTTCTCTATCTAGTCTTGCACGTTGCTTGATACCTGGTATGTCGAGTGGGGTCGCTAGGAACGGGAGGTGAGCACGCCTACGGCCATGCCGCCGGTAGTGCAGGGAGAAAGACCATTCAACCTCAACCCGACCGAAATGAAGCGGGACAACATTTCTTCGTAAACCAATCGAGCAAGACCTGTTCGTGACACCAACCGCCGTCTCTTGTGTTCAACGAGAGATGCGGTCGAGAGACATACACCGGAACGTTGGCGCGAACAAGCACTCTAGGCTCGTTGTGGTGAACGACCCTCCCCATCTTGGTCTCTGCACGCGCGCTTGTGCTCCAGGCATCTCCGATGCACCACCGTCTTCGGAAGACGAAGAAGCCCCCGACGAGGGGGAGGGGGGCTCCAACGAGGCCGGCGCCGATGCTGCGGCGGAAGAGGAGGTGGGTGGGTGGGCGGACCGTCCTCTTGCTGTCGTTCTCCAGTCCTGGCTGTGACGTTTGCTGCAGCACCTGTAGATCTGCGACAGTAGTACAGATGCTGTTGGTCTCGACAGACGGCCAAGCTTTAGAGGGAAACCGAGAAGGGTTGGCATGTGACGTCACGTTGTCAGACAAATATTACGCCTGTGGGTGGTAAAACTGAGGTAACGACTGTTCAGAAAGAACTATTCTTCTACCGAGTCGCGTTGTTCGTTTGAAACCCGAACTCACGCGGCAACTCAGTAAAGGCCGTTTAAGGAAATTACTACTGAAGCACCCTGAACCTCATCATTTAGATGATCTTTCTGTTTCCAATCTTATCCTTCCGTTCTGGTGGACCCGCGGCTGTCCCACATCCCTACCCTTTTCTGGTCGCGTGACAGCCGGGGGAGAGGGCGGAATCGGGGGGTTCCACAGACGAAAAGCCTCCAAAATCACCCGCGAGCCTGTATAGCAAGAACGACGCCCCCGTTCAACTGGTCCTGAGCATCGACACCATTGGGCAGGTAGCTTTGACCAGCTCGAGCGCATGTGGCTGTGTGTTTCATGATTCGTGTTTGTTAGCCGCCTTTCCTGACTTATCATGTCGATTATCAGCCTGGTTCGAGTGTCGTTCTAGGCGACGACGGAAAAAGCTGGGTTCACGGAGCGGTGATGATTCGCGGAAGCCATGATAAGAGTGATAGGGTGTCGAGTATGGGCGACACGAATCTAAACACTGCTGTTTGCTTGGGTTACGTACGCCAACGAGGCGGTTTTAAGTGGTCCAAAAGTCGACCAAAAGAGCATTGACACGGTTCAAGACGAGAGACGCACCATAGCGCCTATCGATGATACCCGCAGAATTATCCCGCAACTCCAAGGTTTTGACGGTGAAAATACCTGACTAGCACCGAAAGCGTCGAGAGAAAAATTGTCAGAAAATCGTTTCCGCGACCAAGACGTGCTCTCGCGGGAACGTGCGCTAAAATGCCGACCCGACCAATGTCCTTCCAGAGCGGCGGAATAAGCTCCGTCGAGGAAATCCGCCGAGTCTATCGCCCACCAAGCATGACGGTCATCCATTATATACTGTTATAGGGGCGGTGTTTCAACTGGAGCGATATCCTGTGGGCCAAGTCTTGGGCGGCGAAAATGAAGGCCAACGTCGAAGCCCTCGAGGTATGAGCATCAATGTACTGCTTGGACCATGGTTTTGTGCACTGCCTTTTTCCGGTGTACGTTTCAAACTTCTGACCAGCGTCACTACTGTCACACACAGTAGAATTGTGGCTAAGCGTTAAGGTCGGTTACGGTGCTTTAGCCTCAATATCTACCGGCTAGGGTTCAATCACTTTGTGCGGTAAGCTCAACTATGGGGTACCAAATGGGGCGGAATGGTCACACCTGTATTCCAGTCATCCAAGCTCCGAACCGCAAGCTGCTCCTACAGCAGATATCCCTTCGTTTTCACGAGAGATGCGCAGACTCGCAGTCTTGGTTGGTCACAAGTGGTACTGATTTCAGCGTTTGGTTTCGATACATTTCGTTCATATCGGCCGTAGCGGTAACTACGTGTTGGCGGAGCCATGGGGGGCTCCGTGATTTCAGGGTCTTGCGACACCCAACCCCTCCCAGACCTACTTCGTAGCTGATCAGATCTCAGTATTTCTAGAGCCCTAAGTTGCTGCTACATTACTGTTACGCTTACAAGGGGGATTTTTTTGGCTTTCTTTTTTTTTCCCCTGTCGGTCTCTTTCTTCCTTGCTCCCTATCGTGGCGTATGTCCCCCCCCCTCCTTCGTCCCTCCGGGCCTTTCAATGTTCCCTCCTAAATGCTTCTTCTATACTTGACACGTCCACTTTATTTGCATTGGGGTCCCTGGTCTTTCCGTTGCAAGGTTTCAGGGTTCCCATCCGAGACTCGGGGCGACCGCCATCGTCTATTTTTTCTAGTGCACAGCCCCGTGTTACGTGAAGAAGCATCGCTGGTCTGGATATTTTCCCCGTTGCCCTGCCCCCCCACCCCCGAAAAATATTTTCATACTCTTTCCGCAAGCGGTTCTGCTCGTTGTCTAGAAAAGTGGCACTGAACAACAACTTCTTCACTTGCTCATCCGCCTGCCTCCCGAAACTGTCGTGGTTCTCTCTTGTCGGATCCTCGACGAAAATCTCAACAATACCTACAGTGTCGCATGTTTGAGGACGAAGCGGCGCTTATCCCATCGTTGCGAGGGAGCGAGGTGACCGATCTTGTGGCGAAGGTCACGGAAGGCGAGGAGACCGCTGTTGCGGAGGCGCTGGCCCTGCTGGAGCCCGGTACTCCGGAGGACGAGAAGGACAGAGTAACCAAGGTACGTAGCAGGACTGGCTGTGGTCGGTGGTGGTACGAAGTCTTTTACAACGGTGGAATTTCGGCGCTGCTAGCTTTGCTTGCCTCGCGAGTAAGATAGCAGTGTTCAGATCACCATCGCACTAAGAACTAAGAGTCCCTCGCTGCGCTCGAGGCTAGACCAAGGACAGGACGGAAAAGAGAACGAACTACGGGCCCGCTCCCAGATCAGCCTTTTCGGGATGCGAGAATCTACGGTGCTGAGATTGCCCTCACTCCCACCGTACACAACAGCGCTCTCACCATCACCTTCCCATACCACTCGCGTCTCCTACAGAATATTCAGTACCGCATCAAGACGAAGGCGGTGGAGGCTGTCGGAGACCTAGTGAGCCTAATGGGGAAGCTCAACCTCGCCCCTCCGGTAGCCGTTCTCGACGTTCTAGAGCGCGCGTTGCTGCTGGTCGGCAAGGGTAGGGCTGATCTGTGTGATTCCAGGTGCGCGAGGAGCCTGCTATCGGAAAACAGTCTACGTCTCGTAGAACGAGCTCCACCCACCTATCTGCAGTACAAGTAACATCAAGTTTTAGATGGAGGCCTCCAACACCATCATCGTCAGATCGTGAGAGTCTCCTCGACGTTTCGGAGCCAGTCAGCACACCAACACCATACATACCAATTCGTTGCTTTGATATGGCGGGTATCGGTGGCAAGTTGCAAAATTTTGATCGACTGATTCTTGAACAGCACCAACGCGATGATTGATTTGGCGACGAAGATAAGTTCAAAACTCCTACAGCAGAGAACCTGGATTTGATGAGAGAAGAGAGGAAGCACTCTAACACTAGTGCGCCGGACCGGTCGCACTTCCAAAGACAGAGAGACAAGCAAATTTTGGGATTGTGAACTGTGTGCAGGGGATGATAAGGACCATTCCATCGGGAACAAGATGGTGAAAACGAACGGATGCGCCTGCTATATTTTGGTACCATGAGGCCCCAAGTGCGAGAGAAACTTGTGATATCCGGAAAATAGCAGGGAAAACCGTCGGCAACAACATGACTGGATAGAAGCACTTGACGCCCGAAAGTTAGCGGTCTATCTACAACGAGAAATAGGGAGGGTGCTTCGTCGATGGTCGAAATACTACAATGCAAGTAATGTGTGAAAGCCTCTCCTGCTGTTCACGCCCATGCTACATAGGGGTGCCTTGGACTGGGTAGACAAGATGCGGATGGTCGTGAGTACGGAGCTTGTGCCGGCCATCTCGGCCTTCAATGCGGAGGACCCAGCCTCCGCGGTGCGAGCCGGAGAGGCAAAGGTGGGCAGCAGCGGCCAGCGATGAGTTATGGGCAGTTTAAGCCCGCCCCGTTAGCACGAAACCAAGTAATACCTTGACAGTCGATAGGCTCTTGACTTTTCTGGCTGCAGTGTTATGTCGGAAGGATGTGGCAGCACCGAGCGACGCTAGCGTGTCTTTCAGCTTACACCTCGCATTAGGACACCCCCCTCGAAATTTCAGTAGCCTATTATTCCGGGGAGGCGTGCTCCCCTAAGATGCGCCTGGTGACGGTCCTAGTTGCTAAAGACAGCCTTCACCTAGACTTGGAATGCCGTGGAGTCAATGTTGGGCGTCCAACAGTTTGCCCGCCGTTAACCAACCGTGTAAACGCCGCGCTCACGCACGCTTACCCAGTCGAATCCTCCGTCACCGCTTGAACCTTCCCACGTTTATCCTCGACTCATCTCTGGCGGCTGTTGCCAATGTTTAGCTGCTGCTGCCGCGCTTGAGTTTGCCCCTTCCTGAAAACGATGCTACCATCAGGAAGCCGTGGAATCGATGGACGCAGAGAGCGTCAAGGCCTCGAACGTCCCCGCCCTGGTAGTCCTGGAGTGGATGTCGAGCGCCATCACCGAGGCGGAGGATGCGGCAGCGGCGGCGGCGGCGGCGGAAGCGGCGGCGATTGCTGCGGCGGAGCAGGCGGCGGCGGAAGCCGTAGAAGCCGCAGAAGCGGCCGCTGCCGCTGCGGAAGAGGAGGGCGAAGAGGATTGACGGAAGAAAAATTGACAGCAATACTAGCCAGAACGGGGTAGGGGCGGGGGATGGATGTGGTCAGGTTGGGCGGGGTCCGGGGGTCTTGCCGTGAACGAGCACGAGTGCTCACAATAACGGCGAGGGGGGCAGTTCTATCGGGGGTAGGTGTGTTGTATCTATCAATCGGTTTGGTCAACCCAAGAGTCCAAGAAGCACTTAAGCAGGTATCGAGAATGGGTACAACAGCTGGAAAACTAGAGGCAGACACATCATCAGGGCGAAAGAAAGTGGAGCAGCGGCTATACGGGCGGTCAACCCGGAGCATGGGGTGATGGGCGTTCGGGTGTACCGAGCGTGCTGGAGCATTTGACTTGTGGGTTTGTTCTTGAAGTACCTACCAAGTAACGGGTGAGGCGCCCACAGTTCGCACTTGCGGTACGGGATGTGTTTCTATTCGCATGATTCTCCTCCGTCATGAGGAGCCCGTTGAGGCTCTGAAGTTTGACACCCTGTCCTTGTCATCTACTCCACATTATCCCTTTGGAGGTTTCTTCTCCTTGCGCGCCATGCTGGACGGAGTGGCTCTTTTGTACGACTGTCTCATGATTGATTCAGAGAGGTTCTACAGAAGCGTATGTACGGTAGCCGACCAGGCCTGTAAGCTTTGTTTGTGTCGTACTATGGTCATTCTGGTCACGCTCTCGAGTGTACACGCCCTTGCTTCCATCGACCCATCACTCTGCGATATGCACCAAATGAGCCGTACCTTCCCACCGCGACAAATAAATATGGGTTTGTTTGGTGTTGCTCATTCGTGTCGGTGTACAGTATCACTCCCTCGCCACCCACGCTCGCGCTTCGCCATTCGCAACCCACCGTGATGAATCCGGAAGCTGCGCGGATGCTCCGTTCCTACAAGGGGCGGGGATGAGACGTATTTGGGGGGTATTGAGACACCATCATCAGCTAACTAATTAAAACCATTTCACGTCCATCAGTTCCCGGCTTCTCGGTGGTGCGGGGGGGTTTTCTGGAAGGTACAGTAATAGGTCGAGGTGGGGTGTTTGCATGCGGCCGCCCAACTTCGCACAACAATACATACGGTACATGTGTGCAAGGGATAGGCCTGCCTGCAGGCAGACGACAAGGCGGCGCGGGTACGGTAGACCACTGAGTCAGCGCTGACTGAGTAGTCTAATGGGTAAACCTTTCTAACAGGATTGTTGGGGATACAGACTAATGTCATTGTGGAGCTCTGCATTGCTAGTGGGGCCTTCCCATATTACAACAGTAGTCCGCGTGGATTGGGGCAGGGGGCTACGGAGACGAGTGACCGAGCAATCGCAGCCACAAACAAATTCCGATCATTTTCTCGCGGGCCAACACATGAGATACGATCTGAGCCAACAGATGAGGACTACCAGCGAGCCGCGAAAATTAGAAAATTAGGAGGGGATATTGGTTGTAGCATGTCACCCCCCAGCTTCATGACTTTCTCTTGAACGCCATGTCCACCTCTCTCTCTCTCTCTCTCTCTCTCTCTCCCTCTCTCTCTCCCTCCCTCTCTCTCTCTCTCCCTCTCTCTCTCTCTCGCCAAAGCGGTAGTGATGGCAATCATGTTTGGGAAGAGGGGAGCGAGAGTCCACATGGGGATAAAAAAAGGGGTGAGAGGGAGAGGGAGGGAGAGAACGTGCAGAGTGCCACTATATGTTGATGTGCACAACGCACAACAAAGACAGACAGACAGACAGCAGAGACAAACGAAGCGAAGAGGGGCGAGAGGGCGAGACGCGCCTTTGCCGGGGCCTCCGCAGATACTTATGGAGTGGGGGTACCATTTCGTGTCACGACCCCCCCCCCGTCATCCATCCTTTGGCTTTGTGTATTGTTTCCGTTCCACTGACCACGTTCACATCACAGCACAGCACCAGCAGCCCTTTACTGCTACGCGCTCTCTCTCCTTGGATCTGAAACAAGGAACAGCGACGATGGTGAGGGTTTGCTTCTTCTTGCAGGATGTGTGTTGTCTAAAACGAGCTATTCAACCCTACGGATCATTCCAACTGCGGACTCTCTCTCTGTTGGAGGTCGGAGGATATGCATTACATCGTATCTGGCTCTCTGCCGCATATCTAGAGAGCTACCATGCTACGGTGCTGTTGTTGTTGCTGCAGCAGTTTTTATTCTCTGTGCGAAAGAGGTAGGCATGGTGTCGTCACTCTCGTGTCGTAGCCATTGCGCAACATGGGCCGAAGCTCGAGATGGTGTCTGGTCTGGCGACTGGTGACCCTTGTAGAGGAAAAAATGACAGTCCCGTGGCGTGCCTACAGGCCGATTCAGCTCCGTTCTCAGCTCCGATCACGTTGCGTGCCGAAAGATCGCCGTTGTACCTCGGCTAAGAGCAAAAAACATACATAGAGACCAGCAGGGAGACACAGGCAGCCCACCCCAAAAGCACGCTTATCAGCAATGCGCACAGGACTCACATAGTACAATACTAATCACCCATGCTTAATTTAATCTCTCTGACGTGGGGCGGATATCCTTTCCAGATCCAATCTACTGCCTACCGGCTGATTCAAACGCAAAATACCACCGGAGGGTACATACAGCACCCTGAACATGTGATCAACCCGGTGCCGCATCCGCGTGGGAGAGCAGAGGAAGCGCACACCGGACCCGATGCTAACGTACTGCCTCGGTGCTTGATGTTGTTGTGATTGCGGTGCGTGTGGTTCCCAGTATTGGGAGTGAAGGGTGGTTCGTCTGCTGTGTGCAAAATTTCGCTCAAAGGCAAGGGTTTTCGGGACTACAGCTCCGATCACAGCTCCGATCACAGCTCTCTATTTTTAGTACAGAATAGTTGAATTTATCACGAATTTTATGCATTTTGTGCGATAGTGGATGATGGTATCGATTCTCCGATGAGCGGGCCGTTTTTTGGTCGATCTGGCGCTTCTGTGAGGCGGTTTCCCGTCAGCGTCTTCGCATCTAGCGCCGCTAGCATTTGCGCTTGCCGTATGCTCTGTCCAAGGATGAGGTGGAGAAGATGTGCCAACAGGTATTGCTTGCACAGGTACATCCTCTGTGCAGATGGTTGCTGTCGGAGACAGGCATGCACACCTGCTTAGGAACTACTGCTGTACAGTCTGTTTCTCTCCGCATAGCTGCTACTGCTGTACAGCAATAGTACTACTGTACTCCCGTTCGTCACCCTTACATATACCGCGTCCCCATCCCTGTGACCCCAGCACATGGACCCACTGCTGCACCATCCTTGCCGCCGTGATTTACGGGTGTACACGCAGCTTGGAAGATCTTTGACCGCAGAGAGCCGGTTGTGGGGAGAAAAACCAAAAAATTCAAATTAACCCAGTCACGTAAGGGTTAAGTCGTGTGTGAAACAGAATTTACGTTGTGTGGTGTTATGGTGAACTAATGCCCAGGCCATTTGCTTGCATCGAGTGCTCCCATCGAAGCACTGCTGTCGCGTGGTTGTATTTTGCACGAATGGGCTGTTTCGATTCCAGGCATATTGGTTGCATACCAAGCCATCTACGGAACGTATCAAGAATAAAAATGGCGGTTCGGAATGCGCACTGTTTCGATCTCCATGACAATGTTAATGTTAAACTTCGAGGTCGCGAATGCTTGTGGTTTGTAAAATGGTGTGCCACACAGGAGCGAAAGAATGATGCGACTAACGAAACACAAGCGGGAGATGGAAAAGGAGGTGCCGGAGTGCCGGCGGAGGCCCAAGACTTGACCGTGTTTGTTCAAAGCGTCATGGAGCAAATGGTGAGAGAGATCTGTGTCCTACTGTACATTACAACCGTGGTATACCTACATACCTTGGTGAGCCAAGCACGCGATCCACTAGTTTCAGGGTTCTGTGACTCCCTATAGATTCGAATCATCTTTGGGTTGTCATCTTTGGGTTGTCATCTTTGGGTTATTGCATCTTCCGACGAAATGTAGCGGGGGTTCCCCCGCGGGTCGAATGTGGGTTGGACTATATTCCTGTACCTCAGTAAAAGAGACAGAAAGATTCCGAAAGACTAAAATACAGGCAGAGAAGACGAACCACTTACACGGGCGACTGCAACAGCTCGGCAAGGTATATGCAGATGCTGCGGCTAGTTGGCGGGTTGTGTTTTTGTCGGTTACTTTTGACGTTGGTCCCCGCTCCCAACCGACTGGCCGGACCACCGAAGAGATACGGTAACAGCTGCTGGTGACACAGCAGAATTTTTTTAGTAATGTTGGCGTGCGTTGCTGCTGCTCGTGGTGGTAGATCCTTTTGTGGTGGCTGTTGCTGTAGCTTTGCGTTTGCCCATTATGATAGGTTTTCGTTCTGTAAGTAATTCGTCTCACGCCCGCCCACACCCCCAACCCGCCGCCCTACCAATCACATCAAACGACAACGAACCGAATGGGATGCAACAATGTCATGAACGATAACTTGCAGCAAAATCGGTTCAGTCAAATGTCGGACACCATCATCGGGAGGGTAGACGAGATGAGCACCCGCATAGACGACCTGGAGAAGTCAATTCAGGACCTCATGGTGCAGGTAATTGCGTCCGTTGATTTCAACAACGATGATCTGCACACCTTAACACTTTACGAGGTCGGAAAAGGTCGGGACCTCACGAAGGCTTGCTGTTCGGGCACGACCGAGCAACCATGAGTACAGAATGGGCCCGCAATTATGAAACGTCATACCAGTCAGTGTAGTTCGGTTAGTCGAGCCTCAATTTCTGGTTTTATCTTCACTGTCGAGCACCGATCGTCAAAATACATACCAGTAGAGGGTAGCGCAGGATCTACGCTTGAGCTGTGTTTCTTGAACCCGACGAGTATGAAAGTTCTTTTTGTTCTTGAAAAATGGAGCCCCTATTTCTTACTGGGGTTTATTTGTTAGTTTCGGGCCTGTTGTGTATATTTGCTTGTTTTTCTGTCCACAGGAGAGTCGAGGGTCGATTTCCTGTACACGTCTGTGTCTTGCGCCAGTTGTATAGGGACGGGAATGGAAATTGAAGCTTGCGTGTGACCACCGCTCTCAACGGAACGAACGAGCGATAAAAAGAAAAGCACCGTGCCATACCTGCCCCTTTGCGTTTGTGGCGCACAGGCCGAGATCGAACCTGCAGATGACTCTTCTGCCGAGGCGGGGGACGGAGGTGGGGATGCAGAACCACCAGCACAACCTGAAGCTGGAACTGCGTAGACATAGAGTGACTACATATATATGACTAATTCAAACGTATAGATAGGTAGGTGCGTCAAGAGATAACCTCTGCTTCCCTTTTTGTCTTTCTTGAATCTGTTGCATGACACCGTCCGGATAAGCAGGGAGAGGACAGCAGTAGACTACTTGCTGGATAGTCGATGTAGACTAGTGCTCGTTGTTTTCGCCCTCCAAACAAAACCTTTGCCGGGCGGGATGGTGATAGCACCACCAGAGCCCCGGGATGCCGAAAAAAACGGAGAGGGGCGGCGGCAGGGAGAGTTCAGACTGCCGCTGCAATGCTTTGGGCTGTTTGGGAGAGGACCAATCGTGTTGTAGATACGTTGCGCTGTGCCAAGTTCGTGTTGGCGTTATTTCGTGTGCTGTGTGCTGTTGGATGGGCGAGCGACACTCCATGGTGTATCAAACTCTTTGGACGGAACATGTTTTGGACGGTGTTCTCCGAAGGGTGCGCTTCGATGTTACAATGCCGCTGACTGCTGCAAGCAGCTTCTGGCGTGCTCGCGGCCCATGTTTAGGAGGCCTGCATCATTCTGCGGAGACTTTTAACGTGCAGTTTGCGCGTGGAAAAAAAAAGTCTTCTATATACCAGATCAACGGCCTACAGCACAAGTTACAACGTATGATGGCCTTCGTCGAGTTATGCTTCGTCTCAGCTTCTTGGAGGTGCGGCGGGCTCATTCGATTAAAACTTCGTCTTCACTGTTTTCTCCTTCAACAACAAGGAAGGGGCCGCTTCACTCCTCTCCCAAGCACCCACCCACAGCAACGCTCCTCACATCGCAGTATCTTGTTAAACGCCCGGACAAGCACCACATCCACTCTAGCGACCTACACCACGCACTATGACGTACTGTACTGTACGGAACTAACGGCGAATTCGAAAGCAACAAGTTAACTTCGTGTGCCCGAACATGAACATCTACATGCTTAAAAACACAAATACCATGTCTCGACACAAAATTACGCGCAGTCCCTCTATAGGACCCTTTCTCGCATGAGGCCTATCCGCTACAGTTCCACACGTGTGAAAAGCACACGAAAGATTCAAACGACTACGGATGCTCATCAAAGCCTGAAATAGTCTCTCCTGCAGGAAGCATTTCGACTCGTTTCAAAACATGAGAAGCACACGATGAACAATTCCTTGTCAGCAAAAGTCTCTCCTCTACCTGCTGCCACCGCGGGGAATGAGCATGCAGACGGGACACAGCGTACAACAACCCGACAGAAACAAGTGGAGGAAACGAAAAAAATATCTCAACACTTGCAGAGAAAAATAATTAAACTTGGTCTAATATGGACGAGCAAAGACGACAAAACAAACGAGAAAGGAAAACACAGAAAAAAACATAAAATGATACATTACAACTAATAGATACGAAAACAAAGCGAAACACTTTCACGGCCCACTTTCCGACCTCCCAGCTACTTTTCTATCAGGTGCCGCCAGGAAAAGGCCTTCATACTGCACTTCTACCTCGCGCAGGTCTCCTGACCACTCAAGGTACAACCTGTATGGCACTATCGTCATCTTTCACTGCTGTGCCGTTGCTATGCTGGAAAGTCACTTTTGTTGAGCTTTCTGGACGAGCTCTTGAACAGGTGGAACTTCCGTGTAGGGGCACGCTCCACTGACCGGGCCTGGGCGGCAGCGGTTGCGGCTCCCTCAAGCAAGCTGGAAGACACACGGGGGAGGAAGGCGCGCAGGACAGTACATCCCTTGAGTACAGACGAGACACTTTCCATTAAAGTCCCCTGTTCAGAAGGACTAGGGGGAGGTCAGGAGATCGCATATGTGTGTGGTGAAAGACAGCCGAGATGCAAGGTGCAGACAGGTCATCGTCCACTCGCCTCCCACCTCACCCGTTCCCTCCCTCTTCGCAGCCTGCTCGAGTGCTTCGCCGCATGCAACACAATTACGGGGGACGTTGCGAGGGTCCGTACATACAGCAGTGCGTCCATCCCATTCTTGCCGTGGTGGTGGAATCTCCCAAAAAATTCAGGTAGGCGCACGTGATGTATAAACAATCCTTGCACTAGACCCAGGACAGCGGCTAAAAGCCCCCTACGGGCAACACATTCCTCCTTCTCACCTTCGCAAGGTGGTGGTGATTTCCCCAATAGATATCCGCTTGTGCATGTCGTGGTGCCAGCCAGATTGGAGGAGTTTCACGAACGGAGCCGGCCAGTTCTCGCTCACGCGTGGTCGAACGCCCTTGTCCACCTGCCACCAACAATCGGAGACCTTAATTGTTGACATTTGTGCTCTTTGCCACGTTCCAGAGTCCAGAAACAAACACACGATAGCCCGGTTGTGCTTGCTTCACGTGGATCATCGCTCATCACAGCAAACAAACACCAATACGGCATGACACCAAAGACACCAAACACCAAACCCGGAATCCACATCCCATCGTTTAGGTGGCCCCTCTCTCGTCCATTACATTTCACCTCAAGCATATCGAGCACTGCACACTTGACACGTGTGCAGCGGCCCAGCTGCAACGTAAACCTCACCAAACCGTAGCTTAGCGTTGCGAATTTGATTTGTTTCTGACAACTCCAGTGAATGCCACGACCTCCGACGGACAAGATTAGTCCACGAAGGGCGATACAACCATCAACTCACCACCTGCTGAAGAAATTGTTCTCGGCCCATCATCTCGAACGGCTTGGTCATTGTGGCCATCTCCCAAAGAATCATTGCGAACCCTGTGCGTCGAGAGAGCGAAACCGCCCTTTTCGGATTAGGCAACACTGCCCAACATTTCTGGGGTATGATGAAGACACGCGACGCTCATGCGACTTCGTGTATGCTCATACCAACTGGGGTCACGCTCGGCCTACACACAAGATATGCCATTTTCCACACAACTCCGCCTTGCTCCGAATGATTGTCGTGGGCCTTCGGGACGGGGACAACACTTCGCAAGCGCTCCTGCCACCCTCGGTTCGGACCACGATTACTGCTCTTACTATGCATATCGTGATAATACTCGCCACTCTCGCGACGTCTACCAGGTGCCGAGGTATGTAGGTAAGGAAAGTCCTGTGACCTCGTCCGTTCGAGCAAGCAACGACGGCAGGAGCACAATCAAGCCAACACACCACCAGCGACGACGACGACGACGACTGCACGACAGAGCGGAGTGCCCATAATGTGCGCGCTTTTGAAATGTTTTCTTTTCTTTTCTCACCGTACACGTCCGCCGAGCCGTTGTAAGGCTTCCCCAACGCCACCTCGGGGGCCATGTACCTGCCACGCCACGGCACGCCACACACGAAAAAGGGGTACGTCCGAAAATGAAGAAGCCAGATCAGCAGAGGAACATTTCTGGTGTTTTTGGGCAGGTCGGACAGCGGGTGAGCAAGAGCAACAGACCGTGGCGTTGACTTGAGCCCTATGACTGACAGGCTCATGCGCGGGGGAAGCAGACACAGAGAGCGAGACGCCGCCGTACGCATGTTCCACGCAACCAGCCAGCACGCAGTGTTGGCTGACTCGACTCACCGCAAGCTTCCGGTCTCTCCCGTCATTCGATACGTCGCCTTGTCGTCGGCAGCCTTGGACACCACCCTACCCAGGCCCAGGTCGATGAGCTTGAGATTGCCCTGCGCGTCGAAGCCGATGTTGTCCGGCTTCAGGTCGCGGTGCACCACCAGCTTCCCCGGCATGGCCTCGTTGTGCATGTACTGGAGGGCCTCGGCCAACTGCAGGCCTTGCCGCAGCAGCTCCTCGTACCTGACGCGCACCCGGCACCGGCAAGGGGAGATTTAGCCCCAACTATTCTTGCGCGCCGGGAAATGACGCAGCGTTCTCTGAAAGTTGGGAAACCCTCGGACGGTTGCGTCAACTTCGTCTGTCCGTTCGGGTGGTAAAAGGCATGCCGCTATGCAACGACATCGCGACAAACGACCGCACGCAGGTACAGACAGATCGGGGACCAACACTTTTCATGGTCCTCTTCTCTCCCCGATTTCAACAGAACCTCCCAAAACACCAACGCACACAACACACCCCGAGCTTCCTCAACCAAGGCGATATATGCATACCAGTAAACTCGGTGTCCGTCCCACAACCGTCTCGACAAGAGATACTCACGTGAACTGTCTTATGTGTCGGAACCGGCGCCTTCTGTCCCGGACCTTGACCGCGTTGCCGCAGCGCTGTGCCAGAGTCCCGCCGTCCAATCGCTCGATGAGCAGGAACGGCTCTGGCCGAGTACCGGCTCCTAGCAGACGGACGATGTTTGGGTGGCGCAGGCGCATCAGCAGACCCATCTCGAGCTCCAGCTCCTGCGTTTTCGTTTGATTCGCACCGAAGGAAGGGTTGTGTCGTTCGGGCGTATTTGTTCCCACACGCCTCTGTGTCAACAGGCAATGTTTAGCAGAGACGCGTGTGGCGACAATCGGCACATCTATTCAAGACCCGCATACGCACCTTCCCTCCAACCCCGTTTCATCCATAAACTTTCATTCGATGAAGCTCACACGGCACGGGCGCAAGCAGACAAAGGACAAGAGGTGGAGGTCGACAGAAGAGTAGGTGAAGGGTCGAACATGACGACATACCAGTGTCGGAAACGCGGTTTGGTACCAGGTTCATGCAACCCCCCCCCCCCCCCCCCTACCCCGTCACACAGCGCCGAGCATTTGTGCTCACACGCGATCTTATCCGTGATGGAGCTACATCACAAAGCGGGCACGACTAGACCCACAGGATAGCGGAGCGCAGGGTCGCGCGCACCTGGCGTACAGTGTCCCTGTCTTGGACATCTTTCCGCATGACCTTCACCACCACAGGCGTCGTCCCGTAGAAAGCCGTGTATATGGTGCACCGGCTACCGTTTACCATGAATTCCACCGTCGTGAGCTGCTCCCATCGCACCTGGAAATAGTCGAGGAGGTGTGGTTCGCATGATTGGTTGTTTGGAATCCACGATATATGTAACAAGCAAAAACACGGCACCAGGAGAGTGCTGGAAAGAGCTACAACAGACATGGAGAGTAACGACTCTTCGATCTAGTCACGGCACCAACACATGAGTGGTCCCAATAGATCACAGACAAGGTCGTCGACAAACAAGGAAGGTGAGACGTTGAAAACACGACAGCGAAGGCCTAGCGTTGGGTTGCGGGGAAACCACCGCTGCTCAAGACGGACACCAAAAACTTCCGCTCTTAGCTCAACATTACCCGGTCACTCTGGGTCGAGCGGAGCTCTCTCCTGACGCAGACAAGAATAATTGAGATGAGGAGACACCTTCAAACTTTTACGGGTTGGTTCAGCAGCAAATAATTGGCCGACCAAAACTCACATCTAGGTTGAGCGGGCCATCCCCCAGGGGCAGGCTGGGGCTGGTAGCGTTTTCCGACATATTGCTCGGCGTCTGGTGTCGCGTTGTATCGGATGTCCCGTTGATATTGAAACAAGCAAGCGCAACATGGCAAGCACGACCGGTAAGCAAGCGTGAGAATCGGCCATCTACGAGGTCGAAATTTAAGCAGTGATGCTTACTTCACGACGCGAAAAGCGCATGCTAGAGGCAACTAGGGGCAACGGCTGCGGGGCTGTCCTCATAGATATATTTCAACACATGGCGGTGTAAACTAGACGTGATACACAACAGAGTGTCACCAGATAAGAACCAAGAAAACACCAACGGACAAAAATAAACGAATAGTCCTGTCCGTTACATGAAACAATAGTGGGGGGGGCGGGGGCGGGAATTGTCCGCGCTCGGCTAAGCGTACACAATACCAAGACCCTTACACATGAAGGAAACAAAAAAGGTACACATGATACCAGTAAAACTATCGTACCAGCGAGCGAACGGGACGACACGCCATGGGCACCCATGTGCTGCCACGACAAACCCACCCAAGTGCGGGCAGAATCTCTACCAGCGAGGAGAGGTTGTTATCGTATTTTAGTACAAGTATCGCTGTCTCTTACTCGGGACTTCCTGGCCGGGCTGCCGCTGCCGTCCTCCTTGGCGTAGGCCGGAAAGGACGCCGATATTGCCACGCCCGCCGCCTTAGACAGCTGAGTCAAGACCGACACGGCCGTGTCTTGTCGCTGCGAAAAAAACATAGACACAGGTAGGTGGTTGCAACAGCAGTGGGGGGGGGGGGTACAGCGGGAGAACAGCAGCGCGACAAAGAGAGTTCGATTCGGCCGAGGAAGGAAAGATAAGACAACATGCAGTACAGACAGCAGCTTGACGAAAAAACAACAACAGCCTGCTGGGAAGCGAGAGCTGCGTCACGGCACAAATGCGAGCTGAACATTCAATCACGGTCATAGATCGCTACGCCGGGCCTCGTCGACGCGTACCTGTAGGCGAGCACGGCAAAACGAACAACACAGGTGTCCCAAATAAAATCAAACGAAAAAATATGCACCTCGTGCTTTGTTGCTTCAACCACCAGATTCATACCATCCATTACCATCCATACCCAGGGCCGCAGACTGGTACATACTGTTCGGAAACTCCGACGCCTACTGGTTGTTCGTCCGGCCGGTGGAGGGTACACCACACGGGCAGCATGGACGAGGAACAGCAGGGCGGGGCGTAGGCAATGTGGTATGCCCCGAAATACGCCCGCCAACCATCTCAAAAAGAAGAGACACCATCAGCGGCACCCACTCTGTTGCCAACATGTCAGCTGTCGCTCTCTCGGCAGCTTAGTCAAAGCGTCCTTGCGGGGGGGAATTCCCAAGTTTGAAGTGTAGGCGTCTGGTGCTTGACCGCCAAGTCAAGGGCGTCAAAAGGACGACAGGCAGTGCGAAAATCGACTTTTGTGGGTAAAACGCGTTTCTCCAACGGTGTAGCACTCACGTTCACGTCGTGCTCGGCAAAGAAGACGAAGCAGAGGTCCCTCCGGAGCACGGAGAGGCTGATGGGGAGAGCTACGGCCGTGTTTAGGGGCAGGCTGGTATGGAGAGGAGTGTCCGGGTGCATCGAGGTGAACCACAGCAGCCGCTCCTGCTTCCGCGCCTCGTCAACAAGCTACGCAAAAAAAACAACAACAAAAGAGGAGTCGGGTGAATGGGGAAGGATTCGGTGGTCAATGCGCACATGAGGGGTTAGGTGATGCCACTGAAGCAAATCTCGCCGAGAGGTATTACACAAACTATTGCCAGCCCGCAAAATTATCTGCCTTTTTTTCTAAAAAAAGGAATTGGTGGACGTCGGAATAGGATTTTCGCACGTCCAGAATGACGCTGCACTTTCAAAATCAAACTACAATGGTTTTTGGGTTCAAGCGGCAGAGACGACAAAGCGTGATTACTGCTACTTGCCACATCGAACCTGCAGCATTGAAACTTTAGCGTTGCTCCCCCCGGACGATCATGTTACCAGAGCCCACGCACAAAACCACCGTCTACATTGTAATGTCGGCCTAGAGCAGTGCCACTGCTTTACGACACGGACGTCGGTCGAGTGTTTCAGAAGATGGTTCAGGACGCGCCAAAGTGCTGTGCTCTACTGACTTACTCCGCGGCTGTTGACATTGTCCCGGTGCCACTTCGTAGAGGAAATAACCAACCCAGGCGGGCGGGTCAAATGCAACTGCAAAAAAACGGCAGCTACAGCAATTTCCGCGCATCCTGTGACCTGTTGCACCTTTTTATTATTCTTCCTTATGGTGGCTTTCACCGGATTTGTTCGCCCCGAGATAGAACAGAAAGATCCACATACTCGGACACCAAAAGTGTGGCGGGGCTCGCCCGTTTAAAAAAACAACAACAGACCCCGAGTTGGAGTTGAGTGTGCGGCAAAACAAGGAATAGATAGGCTGTGGTCGAGGTTGCGCTGGTTTGCAGCTGTGTGGAGATGTGGACATGGGGCTGCGGCGAGTGAGCTGTGCGGGCCGGGAACATCCTCTGGCACAAACTGGGAGCACCCTCCGGCACTACCCTCGGAGGGAGGGGGGCAATCCACAGACAGCGGCGGCACATGCTGCGGTTTATATCCATCATCATTGGTTGCGGTACTAGTGGTTGCCGTACTGGTCATGGTCACAGCAGCCGCTGCCGCTACTTGTTGCGCTCCTGTTGGTCAGCACACGACGAGGACATATTCTTGCGCTCACGGGTGTTGACTGTGGACCCCGTTGCGTGTTGTGCGCAGATGTGGAGACTCTCCCTCGTGCCGTGTGGCAACTAGGCGAGAGCGCGAAAACGACAGCAGCAGTAACAGCAGTACAGCGGTCGTACCGTCCGTCCTTTAAGGAAATTAGTCGCCATCTTACCTTGAGTAGACCACCTTTTGAGACCTCGGAATATTAGCTTCGTCCAACTCTTTTCCCTTTTCTCCCTCTGCTCTCTGCTCTCTTCTTTCTTCTTTTGCTTTCCTTTTTCCAGTCTATGGTTACCTCGCATACCGTGCAGAGGCGAGCGGAGTGTCCTAGACCATCTGTCGTTCATTTCTATTGACTTGCAGACCCTTCGGGTCCATTTTATTTTCGTAACCTTCTTGGGTAAGTTAGCCTATGACCACGGGAATCGACCGCGTAGTACGGACAGAAGAAGGTACTGGGTAGAGAGAATCAACGGTTTTTTATGTGAAGACAACACAACAACTCGGGGTAGAATATATCATCTTGATTTAAAATCATCTTGAATAAATCTAAAAGAAAGTCCGGTGACATGAAGTTTTGACCCCGAGTTCAGCTCGCTCGAACTGCAGGAGAAAAAAAAATTGTCTCTCGTGATTTCACCCAATCAAACCAAAGGGTTCTGTGGATCTTCTGTTCTTAGCGGGGTCGGGGCGTGAACTCGGGGCGTACAATACCGGTTACGACCCACCGACACAGACTACAAAGGATGGGATAGATCAGCAGGTATTCGTAGCGTCATTGGAGGCTACCTGTGTTTCTACGATTTCCTCGAGCAGCAAACAGCGATATCTCCACCGCGTGTAACAGGTTCTTGTGCCTCTGCTGTTGTTTGCATTTTCTCGGGATGCACACTCACGTATGCATACGCCTGTGGGTAACGCTGGGCAAATCACGCGTGGTGGCCCCAACCTATTAGGGCCGGTCTTAACGCAGGAATCAGATCTCGAAATCACATTCAGATTTGGTTATAAGACCGGAAGATCCAAAGAACTCTGTTTTTGATTGGGCACAAAGTTCTTCCGCCGGTCTCCTCTTTAGGACTTACAACAGGACGACCCAAAACCAAAGCAAATCTCGAAATCACATTCAGATTTGGTTATAAGACCGGAAGATCCAAATAACTCTGTTTTTGATTGGGCACAAAGTTCTTCCGCCGGTTTCCTCTTTAGGACTTTAAAACAGGACGACCCAAAACCAAATCAGATCTCGAAATCACATTCAGATTTGGTTATAAGACCGGAAGATCCAAAGAACTCTGTTTTTGATTGGGCACAAAGTTCTTCCGCCGGTCTCCTCTTTAGGACTTAAAACAGGACGACCCAAAACCAAATCGGGATTTGAAAAAAGGTGAAGTCATTCCATCAGATCCCGATTTGGGTGAACCGCAACCAAGTTCGAACATTAGCGGTCTACTCGCATGCACGGCGCGTGCCCACCTAGCCCCATCCACACGAACTCCATCCACCGCCGAGCACAGAGGAGAGAGAAAGCATAAAAAGCCAACCCAAAGGGAGGGTGACTGCGCATCGTTGTTGCACGTGACTGGCGCCGAAAGAAACGTGTGTGGGGTGTGTTGGTCTGTGGGGCAATGTCCCGTGGGTTGTCCAACATCAAATGCACAGATGAATTGGTGGCTTTCCGTCGGACGAGGCTCGATTCAAAGTCTCACATGCATAGACATCGTGTCAGTACCGCACAGAGGCCATGTACGCGTTGGTGTGTGCTTCTCGGGAGCGATAGCTCCCCATCTGGTGTGGTCACGTCACAAGAGCACGTCACAACAGCAATCTGGTAGTTGGCAAGCGGCGGACCTCTCGGGTTGTTCGCGGTGGACTGCAGAGACTCGTTTCCACTTGGCAGATCTGCCGTTAAGACACACAGGCCATTCCGTCCGGATTTGGGTAGATCCGACTCTTCTATTTTTATATCGAAATGTGATTTTCGAGATCTGATTTCTTCGTTAAGACCTACCCTTAATACGTACTCATCTCTCGTCTGTTTGGATGTCTGAAAAAATGTACCAGAGAACATATCACCAACCTCTGGTACACAGGATCTATGCTATACACACAAACAAAATCGGGCGTATTCGGTGATTGTCTAATGGGCCGCACGCATTGACTTGCGGACCCCACGGGGCCAGTTTATTTGAGTGTACCTTTCTAGGGTAAGTTAACCTGTGACCACGGGCATCGACCGCGTCGAGTGTTGGATCAGTACGGACATACGAAGGTACTGGGTAGAGAGAAATCGGAACAGTTTTAAATGTGAAGAGAACCACAACAACAACCACAACAACAACGCACGTTGGAACTCAATGTTGAAGGCACGCCGAGGACTAACGAGACGTATATATGTATCCCGACCCGGAGGGGTTAGGATGTGAGGATTTGCCCCAACACATGCGTGCCTCGATGGGATTGCCGGGAAATAAAAAATGGTACTCTGTAAACAATAATTGATTTCTGTAGGTGCGGTATTTCCGAGCACAGCGCGCCTCTTGGTCCCTGTGTGTTGTGGTTTGCTAGAGACTGGCCACAACAGCTTTGTTACGCCGATCATCAACTTATTTGCCCGGCGGGCGCTTTCGGAAGAAAAACCGCTTCTTTGACAAGAGAAAGCACGCCGTCACACACTGCTGTGTACGTGGCATACTTACTTATATCTTAAGCACTCTAGCTTGCGAACATGTGGCGACAGCACCTGGCACGCGCCCGCACACTTGCACGTGCGTTACAACCACTCATGTCGCTGAGTGTACACACGTCGACGAAAATGCAATGTCTAGAAACTCAAGCACGTGCCTGTTGCTCTTGCGCACGTACGTGTCCACGTGCTCGCGAAACTCTGCTGCATACTGCCAGCAATATTGTATATTGGAGCCACCGCCGACGGATAAATATTTTCCGTAACCTGCTGCACAAGAAACCGTCACTTACCGACAACTAACCGACGTAATTACAGAGGGCTCGTCGGACAGATGGAGGCCTGCAACGGCGGGCGTTTGAGGCGCGACCACAGGTACCAATTTTGTGCCGTTGTAACGGAGCGTCAAGGCATGACTACTGCTGAAATTACTGATCATTACGCATTCAACCATGGTCGCCGCACTGCAGTGTGGGTCGTGCAAATCTCTTACCCCCGGAGAAAGCGAATGTCTTGCGCTGGTGTTGTCGTCCCTCAGCGCACCCTGAACATCCTTGAAGCTCTCGATCGTGGCTGGCCGTGCGTACACGTGGAGGCACATGGGTTCTAGCGGCTTTCCCTCGGCAGCGCTGATTTCGCCGGTGTATGTCCAGACCTGTCCAGATTCAGGTTTTTCATGAAGCAGAGAACGGGCGCCGGCACAGCCAGCCGCATCTACTGCAGTGTTGTTGGGAGAGCAGAACAAATTTCTACCATGCATTCATGTTCGGCAATGCTACTTTCGCTCCATGTCACCCCGTTGATCTCTCTCTCTCTCTCTTTCTCTGTCTCTCTGTCTCTCTGCCTCTCCGTCTCTATTGCACGAAGACGAGAAATAAACAGCACAGACAGCTAGGTACCACTCCAACGCTCTCGCCTGCTGTTATCCCACACTGAACACTAAACACCCTCGTCGCGTACCTCGGCAATTTGGAACTGAAGCAAAGAGCACACCGCCGCAAGACAACGGTCTGTGGCATCGAGGTTAGAGGTGTCATGGCTGAAATCCTCCAGAGGGTCGAAAGTCGTGCGCCCCCCGTCCTGGGAGTCCGTGGGCGGCAGCGGCGGGGTGTGGGAGATCGACCTTGATGGTGGGGCGTCCTGGAGAGGCTGGATGTATTCAACATGGTCCGGCGGCGGCAGTAGAGGCGGGTGGCACGACCCCGAAAACGCCCTTCGGATTCGTGGCTCGCTGCCGCTGCTGTCGAGCGCCAAAGGGGAACTCATGTCGCTCGGTGCTGAGGAGACAGACGCAGGCTAGCAGAAGTGACAACAGCCACCACCACTACAACAGCAGCGACATCAAGCTCAACACACCACCGAGAGAATGGAAGGTTCAACGTCGACAACGTGCAACGTCGAACACTGGATAGTTTAGAGAAAACCACGAAATTGCAACAAAAATACGTAACGCCTTCGTGCATTATCTGTGGGTGCCCACGCTTGTTGCCCCGCACCAAGCGACGTCAAACAAACACAGCATACCAACAGCACTTTAGCGGTGGGCCATGGCGGTGTTGCCTGATGTACTCGAGGATACGGGCTCTCAATCGCCCGTGCCCCCGGATGCCGAACTTCTGAAAGTTGATACCTGTCTCAGCGTCGGGGCGCTGTCGTTGAAGTTCGACATAGCAGAGCTCTGGCGGTTTGGGCCGGACACCAGCAAGAGCAGAAGCGGTAAGGCACGGGAGGTGCGGGGAGGTGCGGGGGGCGCCAGCGGCGTGGCCGGAGGGGGTAACGTGAAGGCTCACTGCGAGCACGTGTACACGATGCCCGCGACGTTGAAGACATACAGCGGGCGCATCATGGGGATGTGGAATTCCGGCTTTGACGATTCGAGAGCACCTCAGCATCATGTACTTTCGCCGCAGGTGCGTGTTGGAAGGGGTGGGGCGGAGGACAGCAGTAGCAAGAGCCGGAGACAACAGCAGTGGGCTCAACAGAGACGCGAGGAGAGAGGCTAGGAAGGGTTGGAATCATACATACGTGTGTCTGGACAGCAGCACATTAGGTCATTTCATTTGAGAAAGTACAGTTCTCCATCCATACGTGGACATGTCGGGTCGGGGGAAGGGAGTGTAATTGTGGCAGATTCTATTCCGCCGCTTTCGTCTTTCCGTGTGTCCCTCCTTCCCGATGATGTAAGAATATTCTACATGTGGACGTCCTGCGATACATCAGAGATATAAAGGTACAGTCGACCCCGCTTTAATGACACACCACGTTTTCCCAAGAAAACCGAACCGCTAGCAGATGGAATGAATCTTTCCATACACCCACACGCAGTGTGCGGGCTGCAGCAGACCGCTGTTGATTTTCTGGGGGGGGGTCGAATGGTGGAAAACCCTGCCCCCCCCATTTTTTCACATCTGCGGGGCACCATGTTTCTGAAAAAATTTGTGTCCTTAAAGCGGGGAGTGTCTTATAAATGGTGTCTTTAAAGCGGGGACGACTGTATTGCAATGTCTCTCTGCCGCTCTTCTATGTCCCTCCTTCCCGACGACCTACTTGAGCCTACTAAAACTTCAACAATTGACTTGTAAAATCTTCAAATCTGCATGCACTCGGGTAGTTTCCGGTTCAGCGCGGTGAATCGTAAGTAGTGTCTACGAGGTGGTAGATATCTGGCTCCATTCAGCACAGGACCACACGTAATTAGCTGCAAGACTGGCGTCTTTTCATTGGTCAATCCAGCGTGGTCGATGCTTATCATATACTGTGTCCACGAGCTGGGTCGTGGTAATGGTGTGTCTACTGCTGTGAACCCGGAAGCTGGATCGTGTCCTCCATTCTCCTCCGCGGCCCTCCTCTCGGGGGATCCCGATGACTAGAATGAGAGTCCGCGTGATTTCCCGCTATTAGGCCGACTGGCGTCATCGTTGGTCAGCCGGTAGCGCCGTCGATGTTAGTAATAGTTAGCAGAAGCACGATACTAGATCCAAGTGATCTTCCGGGGTGGGTTCACGAGAGCATGGCAATGTCATGAAGGGGTGATGCAAGGTGATAGTAGCAGGCAGCAGGACCAGCTCACAACTGACAGCCAGCTAACGTGTGTTTTTCACGTTGTTTTTGACTCGAACAGCCCAGCAAACCTCAACGAATCAAAAGAAAATACTTACATACCAAGATCTGTATCCAGTAGTCTTACTTCTGTAGCATTTACCGCACTGACCGACTGGCCAATATGGCTGAAGAAGCGGCATGGACAGCGAGCACCACGCTGAGTCCGAGCCTCGTGCTGTACCTGTTGGGCGGCCGAGACACTTCCCCGCTGGAGTTAGGCTTTACTGAGTCTTGATACATATCGCGTCTAGCTTTTGCATAATTCTTCGCGTAAAGACGGCAAAGACGGTGTTGATGACATTGTTCCAGACCCTGAGCGGGACGAAACAACGCACGACGAACTATTGTAAACTACGGGGTCCCCAACTGAGGGACTATGGAGAAGACTTGACCTAAGTTTCCAACCAACTTGTGTATACCGGTAGTGTTACTATGCGATTTGTCACCCCCATGTGACCGGTCGCAGTTTTGTCGTCTCGGGAGTTACGATTGTTGGTGACATACAAAAAGTGGAATACTTCACACGCCAAACACAGGCAGCTGCCGCAGGCCTTCAAACATTGCATTAAAGCAAAACGAGCGATGCGACTGCTGTGCGAATATTTCCCAATGATGGCGCTTCGGCGGAAGGTTGTTAGTGCAATCTACGAAGACTGCTGTTATCTCTGCTTCAAGCGTAATCGTCTCCATCTCTTCTTCGTTCTCGCGCCTGCAACCGCATTAATTGCAGCTGTGCGAGCAAGCGCGAGCGAGCGAGTGTCCGCTGTGGTTCAAATCAACCCCTGCGAGGAAGCTACACCCGTCCCTGCCCATCAACACCGCTGTCGTGCTGCCGGTGCACTTGCACGTCGATTCGGACGACGAGGATAAGATGGCGGACGACACCTACATCGCGGTGCGTAATCCAGCTTTATCGAAGACACAACAGACGGAAGGGACTGAGACGCAAACCGTTGTCACGCCCGACCGTTGTATCTGTTGTCATGAGAGACCAAGATGTCGGTGGTGCATCGACGGGTGTGTTGCTGCTGTGTGTGCGTGCAAGCGCATTAATTTCTCACCGCAGCGCGAGTCATGCATTCATCCAATACTAGTTCTACGAAGTGGTGTTTCGCTCGCCGCACGTATCATGACGCACGTTGGTTTGAATTAGCTGGTAGACAAGTTTCATATACACAAGTTGCCGGAGGGAGATCAAATCAACCGCGCTCCCGCCACATGTGAAACTTGTAAGAATTGAAAGTAGTCATGGACGAACAGCTTCAGAATCATGCACAGAGAAGTCGTTCGGCGTGCTGTCTTCGTGAAGAGTTTGCTGGTCGAGCAGTTAATGATCTCCGTTCATTCTCCGCCTGTCTGACCCGTCAAAGCTTCGATCTCGCCATGTCTCGAACGTCGATCCAGGTGTTTCTGTCGCTCACGCTACACGAGCGCAACCTGCTGTCGCTGGATTTCTTGGAGCACATCTCCAAGGCCGCCACAACCCTGTTCCTCGAGCAGAAGGAGAAGAAGAAGATGAAGATGAAGCTGCCGTGTGGGGTGGCAAAGGGGCACCCCGAGAAGGTGAGTCAGAGGGAGGATGGGATGGGATGAAACGGGAAGGGAGGGGAGGGGATAACGGTGGGGCACCGCTGCTGCTGTAATGTCCTGTGGTTGTCTGTCTCTTAGATCGCCTCGGTTCACACCATGTTGATTGATGGCTCTCCGGAGCTTGGTATTTAGTCATCATGACCACAGCAGTAGAAACAGTAGAAAACAACGGACGGTTGTGTTGCTTTTAATAGACTCTTTTTTCGAGGCTCTCAGGACCCATTCCCTTTTGAGTGAGGGCCAACAACAGAAGGGCTGGGGTGGGAACCGAGAACTGGACCAAGTATGGTGAAATGCTGGGGAAGGGCGTTGCCCTTGGTTTTTTGAGCCTGCGATCTCGCAACAAGTAGCAAGGCCATGGTCTTGGTTACACCTCTCCTAAGGTTCCACGCTTTCCACATGGAGACGAACTGCTCCTTGCGGATGGGCTCCTATCTTGCCATCCTAACGTATGGCAACTGCTCTATGATGCCATCCAAAAGAGAGACCAGGACGAGCCGACAAGCTCACATTACATGGCATCATCGTATGCCATCGTGAACAATGTTGTTCTACTGCTCGAAACCCCATCGGATTCGCCTAATATTCCTTTGCGTGCACGGGTGCTACTGCTGCTCCTGGTGCTGCTGCTGCTATCTCTCTTTCAGTCTGCGTTTGTCGAGACTCACCTTCAAGACGTGCCGGTTGTGGCTCACCCCGGCGGGATGCTCAACACGAACGTGGCGTGGGCAGAGCTTGGGGATGTCGATTTCCTCGTGAATGGCAGCAGGTGCGGCGTAATTGCTATCTTTCCAAAACCTTATTCATCGGCGTGCATGACTTGTTGCTGCCCAAGCTCTCTCATCCTCGACTCGATTGCCTTGAAGACCCGTGAATGTGGCGGGACCCAACACATCAGTATCGATTCATGTTTTTTCCGTGTGAACGATGTTTGATAGCGCTCAGTTTGTTTTCCAGAACGACGAGTGTGATTCCGCGCCAACCAGGTGTGTCACTTTCGGTCTACGGTTCTCGCAGTCAGGGGAAACACCTGCGGTATGCACATGGAACCCGAACTGTTCTTAACGTATTTGCCGTGATCCCTCGTCCGCTTCGTGGGTCCCTCGGTCGATGGGTGGAATAGTCAAGCGGAAACGGAAACTGTCGTCGTTAACGCTGCTTTCTTTTCTTGTCTCCCTGGCCAGATGTACCATCTACACGGCGGTCTACAAGGACCAGCAGGTGGTGGTGAAGCTCATGCGGAAGGACGTCCAGGATGCGGCCCTGGTGAGGGACGAGCTAGAGCTAGAGCTGGCGTTGCTCCGAAGGTCAGTCCAACTTCTTAATGTTTTGCAGCGGGATGGTTGGTTTGAGGCAGCAGCATCGAACGGTAGCTCGCCGCACCGTGATCTTTGCACACTGCTACAGCACGCGATCCTGCTTGGTCTTGGGAGTACACCGCCCGGAGTGCATGCGTCGATGTCGCAAAGCGTAGGCGCGAGTGTGCCTTTGCTTGCGCAGGCAGGTCGCAAGGCATTCCCTTTAGAGTAGTCAGAACTTCCGCGAGCGCACGCCCAGCAGTGAATTCCAGTGTTGCCCCGCCTCTCGACATCACACTTAACCAACCCCCCCAGACACCCTTTTCCGGGATTATTGAGCGAGGAGTGGGGAATGAGATTCAACTGAGCGTGACAAACACCCCTTGTCGATTTTCCCCGGGCTCGTATGAATCGGACGCGTGCAGGGTACGGCACGAGAATATCGTGCGGCTGCTTGGGGCGGGGAAGGACCCCGAGAGGTTCTTGATCATCGCGAGACTCGACGGGGGCACACTCTCGCAGCGCTGCGACCACGGGTCGAGGCTGCGCGATCGACGAGGACGGTTCAAGACCGGGAAACCCTTCAGCCACATGCAGGTGCGGCGCTTCTTCGCCGCCACGAAGTCGCACGCCGGCGGCCATCGTGTAGCGTACGTCTCTCCTTTTTCCGGTTTCCAGCAGCGGCACAGGCGTGTCGTCTCGTGCGGCTTGTTCTTGGGGATAATGTGCCCTCTGTGGGCGACGCCAGTTGTACTTGGTCCACACAACAAGAGGAGTTGATGTGTTTTTTTACGTCATGCGAGAGTTTTGCTTTGGTGTCCGCTGACAGGTCAGTTTGGTTTTCTTCACCCAGGGGAGGGGAGGCCGGAAGGTTGTCCGACCGTAAGAAGGTGTCAAGGTGTAGTAAAATAGCAAACTAGGACCTGTTCGTATCTTGTAGCTCGCCGGGCAAGCTCTTAAAGCCTTGGTGTGCTATCTAGAAATTGCATGCAAGCACGGCAAACGCCTTGTTCGTATCTACTGTAGCCGCTCACCGAAGAGGCGAGGGCGGTAGCCCGTTCAACGTGAGGATACTTGTTGCCGGCGGCGGTTGCTGCCGTCGTCAGTGTTCGACCTCTGTCTCGACGTCCGCGCTTTGTGCTATGTATTTAGCTTCCTCCGGTCTTCCCTTTCTTCGTCCCCCAGTTGCTTCGGTGCGCGCGGCAGCTGGCGGCAGCTTTGCGGCACCTCCACGAGGAGGCCATTCCGGGCAGGATGGTGGTGCACAGGGACGTTAAGCCGGACAACATCGGCTTCAACGCTGACGGCGACCTGAAGCTGCTGGATCTGGGCCTTAGCAAGGTGGTGTCCAAGAGCGAGGTGGACAACGCCATGTTCAACATGACGGGCGAAACTGGCTCGGTTCGATACATGGCGCCAGAGGTACGTACGGTTTACCCTACCTTACCGAGAGAATGTAGAAGTATATTCGTAGGGACGAGTTTGGATGGGCGAGGCATCTGCTGAACATTTTTGGGAGTGCCACAGCACCAGAGGTGCTATCGCACAATATGACGCTTTCGGAAAGGGGATGATTTTGATTTTTGCCAATGATCCGCACGTCTTTCGACTTGTACATTACGTCCGTTGCGTTCGACAGCTTGTTTTTGCGCCGCTTTGTCGTTGGTGACGTCTTTGGTGTTTTGTTGTTTCTACCGTGTTGCGTTGCAACCAGCCGACGTTGACTTCGCTGTTTCCTTCGCTTGGTGCAATCTAGGTCGCCGAGTCGCGGCCCTACAACGAAAAGGTGGACGTCTACTCGTTCGGCATCATCCTTTGGGAGATGTCCACGCTCAAGAAGCCGTTTGACGGCATGGGACGCGACCGATTCCTCTCGCAGGTGATGATCCGAACGAATTTCTCCGATCCGATCGATTTGCGAGGTAAAGCGAGTCGGGTTAACTCACGTTTCGACAGATTGGCTTCATTCAGATATCGGAGAAAGTCGTTTGACCAAATTGACCTCGAGTTCAGCCGCGCGGAGGAAATTTTACAATGGTGTCCCGGTGGATAGCGTCTCTCACGGCGGGAGGAACGAACAATGTTGTAAGTTATAAATGCAGGTGTTGAGTTGACTCAGGCTTTCGGGTAGCCGTGTGACTCCCTACCTTTGCCTTGCAACCGATCAAATCGGCTCAAAACGTGTCGCGACCGCCTGTTCTGCATGCCACGCCTCTCGCAGGTCATCCGAGGATCGCACCGACCCCCGGTACACAAGAAGTGGCCCAAGCCTTGGTCCGAACTCATGCAGGTAAAATTTGCAAGGCTTACTGCGATTGGACGGTTCATTTGTTTCTCTGTTCTCGATACAACTCCTGTGTCTAGCGCTACGGTATGATTGGTGTCCCGAGTGTTCAAATTGTACGACCGTGACAAACAGGTCCATTTTTGGGAATTGTGCAGTTGATGCTCGATGATGACGTGTGACCGGTGTGTTTGCGTCAAGTGCGCTTCATTTCTTTTCTTTTCAACACTCACTCGAGAGATGAGACCGTGCGCACATGCACCCTCTCCTCGCGACCCCTATCGTACTGTTTCTACGTAGAGTGCTGCATGCAATATTGCCCTCTACGCCCCCCCCCCCCTACCTACTCACGGCGCTTCCCGCTTGGTGATGTGAAAACCTGGTCCGGTGAAAACCCGGCGTGCTCCGTCCCGGCTTTGGAGGGATGCGAGGTCAATGGTCTAACGACTACGGCAGGCACGACTATGAGTACACCCCCCCCCCCCCCCCCCCCCCTCCATGGCGGCTGCTTG